TTTTGGTCAAAGAGTAAGTTAATATAACAAAAATTTTTATAGGTGCCTGAAGATATACAATGCCCTAAACTCTACTAAAGCATGTCAAAATGTGAAAAATAAAACTATACACAATGAGCCGAAACTGGTTTGGCTCAGTGGTAGAGCGTCGGTCTGAGGACTGAAAGGTCCCGGGTTCGATTCTGGTCAAGGGCATGTACGTTGGTTGCGGGCACATCCCTGGTGTGGGGTATGCAGGAGGCGACTGGTCGATGTTTCTCTCTCATCGACATTTCTGGCTCTCTCTCTCTCTCTCCCTTCCTCTCTGTAAAAAATCAATAAAATATATTTAAAAAAAAACTATACACAATGAAAACATAGGTGGTCATTAATGTATATGAATTCTATAACAAAACAATTTTAGTGTCAATGGAAGAGAGTGCTTTTCAGTTTAACTAAAGTTTTTCCAAAGGTTTAATCAACTACTTAGGGAACACAAAGAATTGGAATAGAGCATGAAAACCTGAGTGTGATTCCTGGAATATTACAGGTGTTCAATAAAGATTTGTCTTATCTAAGACTAGGACTGGAAAGCATCCCAGACTTAATGCTGACTCAGGAGATATTGCCACCTAGTGAAATATTAGGCTCATTACCTGAAATTATCAAGTAATGTTGAGAACTTCCCTAATTTGATCTTACTTAAAATACATACATGTACATTCATCACAAGTCAGTATTCAGACTAGGTAATGCACTGGTAATAAAAAGATAAATAAGCTGCTATGTCTGCTTCCTACAAACTATAGATGATACAAAGAAACCAGAGAGATATAAAGTAAATGGTATTGTAGGAAAAAAAAGGTTTGCTTAATAAATAACCAAAAGCTAACATTTTAGAAAACCTGCTCAAAAAGGCAGTTCAGTGTAGCAAATAAAATCATGGTCTCCAAATACAGACTGTATGGATCCAAGTCCTGGCTCCTGTAAAGTGGGGTAATTATAGAACCTATCTCATAAGATTATTGTGACAAATTAAATATGTGTAAAGTGCTTGAGACGGGACCAGAAATACAGAAAGTGCTTTGTAAGTATTAGCTATGATTATGACTAAATGTAGAGCAGGATCCTAGAGACTGAGGTAGATAAATATTGATTAATAACATAACATTATTGCTAAAACTAGCCTTGTGAATGTAATTCAGTAGAAGCCGTTTCTGTGACTAGTACTCTGTTATTATGGGAATCCTTAAAGTACATTATTTGTGGTATTCTGTGACTAAATTTTGTATTACTAGATGATTAACCCTTCAGCATCAGGCAAATAAAACTGCCTTCTGAAAGTAAAAATCATATTTCTTACCAAAAAAAGCAAAAAGTCAGTAGAATGAAAGACTCAAAAGACCACAACTGAACATATGCTTAACAAGGAAAGATGCTTGCTGATTCTTCACAGGTTCTGCTAGAACTGAAAGATGGATGATACATTTTGCTACTATTGTGGTCTTATCCGCAGCTTATTTAACTTGTAAAAAAAAAAAAAATCTTGCTCCATTTTCCTTGAAAATTACCTGAATATATCAGCAGCTTCGAAAAATACTTTTTAAAAGCCATGTAACTGTTCTATATCCTTCAAATTTTGTACCATTAATAAGTTTATAGAAAGCTACATGTAAATTTTATTTTCAGACCAGAAAGTCTAGGCAAAAAAATGTGTGTGTGTGTGTGTGTGTGTGTGTGTGTGTGTGTGTGTGTGTGTGTGTGTGTTTTAGAGGCCCAATGCATGAAATTCGTGCTGGGGGCCTCAGCCCAGCCTGCACTCTCTTGCCATCTGGGACCCCTCACTTTCAACCACCTGCCTGCTAGCTCCTTACTGTTTGGCTCGCCATTTCTCACGGAGACTGGAGAGGCTCCCACCACCGCCACTGCAGCTGCACTTGCCAGCCATGAGCCTGGCTTCTGGCTGGGCAGCACTCCCTCTGTGGGAGCACACTGACCACTGGGCAACAGCTCCTGCGTTGAGCATCTGCACCCTGGTGGTCAGTGCACATCATAGTGATGGGTCATTAGTCAGTCTGCAGTAATGGTCGCTGGGCTTTTTTTTATTATATGAATACACACACACAATATATTTTCAATAAAACATTTAAGGACTATTTGACTTGATGATTCTGGCCTGTATTTAATGAGTAAAACCTTTTAGTCTGAAAACTTTCATTTTCTAATGGATATATACCATGCACAAGAACTGTGCTAAAACTTGGATTGCTTGAGATTATGTAACTTCTTCTTAAGCTTCCTCTTTTTAAAAATAAGCAGCAAAGAGTTTGGAAAATATGTTTAAAAATTTTAAGTTTTCATTTGTTTTTAAAGGTAAGAATGTAAAAAATCATGTTCTAAATACACTGCACAAATTTTAATTTCATATGCATTATTAATTATTTCTAAGATACTTAGAATTCCTTCCTCTTCCATGTTAAGATAGTGTGAATGTAAAACAATGTTCTTAACTTCACACATTTATTTTCTATCACAACTGAGCTAAAATTTTACACACTCTCATAATCAAAAGGCTACCAAAAGAGCTGGTGAGGTGGCGGGGGGGAGAGAAACCTTTTCAATTCTATTCAATATATAGATGCTTATCAGCATATGAAGACATAAATTGCCATAAAGTCAAGTATATATCATTTGGATGAGTTTGATAACAACCCACTTGACCTCTCTTTGTTTTAATCTAGTGCTTATTAATTTACAAAGTACTTCCACAGTCCCTGTCTTATAGTGTCTTCACAAATAACAGGTGGCACAGGTATTAATAGCAGTAGTACCATTTACTAGATAGGAAAATGGAGTTTTAGGAAGGCAAGAAATTTGTGCAAAGTTACTAAAGAAACAGAGCTGAGCCCAGACAGCATGAAGCAGGTCACAGTTCAATTCCTGGTCAGGGCACATGCCTGGGTTGTGGCTGAATCACAATGGCGTGGAGGAGGCAGCCAATCAATGATTCTCTCTCATCTTTGATGTTTATATCTCTGTCCCTCTCCCTTCCTCTCTGAAATCAATTTTAAAAAGTTAAAAAAACAAATAGAACTGAACCTTAAACCCTGCTCTTTCTACTGGCATTTCTAGAATGAACCTCTTAGTTGGAAGCCTATTGTCCAAAAGCCATACAGGCAAACCTGACTGGGCAATCTAATGATGAAATCCTTCTATCAATGACAAAAAAATAAAAAATAAATAACTGAAGGAAAAAAAGAGTGGAACTTTAACTTGCATTTGTAGTGAAAATTTCAAAAGCCTGAAAAAAAAAGATTAGAAATTGAATGAAGACTGTTGTGAAACCTCTTGAGTCTGAGGAAATAACTGTGGAGACTATTTCCTATATAACAGTTCTAATTATAAAGTCCTTAGGTAGAGTTCTCCTTTATGTGAAGATTTGGGAGAGCACATAGAAAGACCTGTTTCAGAATACAAGTTTTAACCAGACACCAGTTTTGGACACTGGCGGACTTGAGAAAGCCATTTGTCTTTTCCTATAATCAGGCAGTGTTTATTTTTGCTGATATTTGCTTGTAATAGTAAATGGTATTATGTTGTTTAACAAGTCTACTATTAGTAAGTGTTCTGTAAATCTGAACATGTTAGAGAAATTAATTATTAATTCTCTGCAAAATAATTTAAAATAAATCTCAAATTTACACATTATTTTCTTATATAATTTGCCTGAGAAGACATATTAAAATCCATACTATGATCAAGAACATCAAATTTAGAACTTAATTGTTTAATAACTTAGGACTTATCACAACCATTACCAATTCAATCTGTATTAATGCAAATAACTTAACCATTCACATTTCATTAATTTCACATTGATGTGTAAGCTATCCCAGTTTGGCAAAAACAGTGAATGATGATAGATGACATCTTAAACACATCAAAGAAATGAAGAAAGTTTTTAATATATGAAAAAAATGAATTTTGAGAGTGACAGCACTGTCAGTACAATATAGAATAATGAAAACCTGATATTAGCACATAAATTAAAGAAGTGTATAAAAATAGCATAAATCCATATATTCTAAGAATGCCTTGCTATTCCTGAAAAAATGTGTCTAGTCTTGATTTCCTTATCTCAGGATGATATAACAGTGTAATTTTAGAGTAGCAAAGATATCAAGATAATTCTGGATCTTGTTTTCACTGACATTAGTTTTTTGTCTTCTTTTCATGTTAAGAAACTCTGTAACTTATTAAAACTATGTGCTTTAGTAAAAAACAAAAACAGAGAATAAGAAATCAATTCAATATTCAATGGAACACATTAAAGATCTATATTTCCTAAATTTTATTTGTTTATTTATTTATTTATTTCCTCAGCTGAGGATATGTTTTTATTGATTTTAAAAAGAAGAAGGGGGGGAGGTAGAGAGAGAGAAGAAGAGGGAGAGAGGGAGGGAGGGAGAGAAAGAGAGAAAAGGAAGAAACGAAGGAAGGAAGGAAGGAAGGAAGGGAGGGAGGAAGGGAGGGAAGGAGGGGGGATTGGTTGCCTCTCATACCCTGACCAGGGATCAGGCCTGCAATCTGGGTATGTGCCCTGACTGAGAATCGAATCTGTGACCTTTCAGTGTATAAGACGATGCTCAACCAACTGAGCCACACCAGCCAGGGCTACCTTTGAAATTTAGTTACCATTCCCAAATAATTTTAGATGCATTTTGCTTATTTAAATTGACTTATAAAGAAAAGTGATGATTACTTTTCTGAGATTACAATAGAAGGGCACAACTATTATGTGTACTTTTGCTGATATTTAAATTCCAGAATAATAGAGCTATGGACAAATAAAATGCTATAATACAATAATAACAATCTATTTATGTGTGTGACTCTTACAATATGTTCAAGAGAACTTTGTTACTACAAAGAATGACAGTTGTCAGAATTCATGATTTCTGGTTCAGTATAAATGTAAAGGTTACTTTAAATAGTCTTTACTTATCAAGCAGTGGACTTACCATGGAAATCATAAATATACAGAAGAACTGGCTCATTCTGCCCAAATGCACAAAATGCAACCATATTTTCAAGTGGATGATAAGAAATGTCTCGAATGGGTGATTTGAATGGCAGGTCAGAATACATTGCTACTTGTTCTCCTAAATAAGAAAAGATTCAATAATGGGTATTGCTATTTCTTATTAAAAGATTATTCTGCAACTTACCAAAAATATTTAAAGATAGTAATATGAAGCTGTTTTCTATATGAAAATCTCATATACTTATAAATATTTGAGCACTACTGAATTTCATAATTATATTTATTTTTCATTCTGTTGGCCTTCCTCCTTCTACTTCTCAGTCCAAACTCTTCAACAAGGTTTTCAAGGCAGAAAATGGACAGTGTTTGGAGGTACCTGACTCTGAGATTTGACAGGGCTGAGCAAATGCCAGCTAACAAAGACCTCCAGAGAGAACTAGGGAGGAACTGCAGGACTCTAAAACTGAAGAAACTATCTGGTTGGGGAAGGCTTACTGGGGATTAATTTTTTCCAGAGGCTGTTTGAGGTACCATCTCCTTTGAAAATATATATGGTTACTACTGGCTACAAGAGGCCTACAGCAAACGTCTAAGAAACCTCTGAAAAGCAGAACTCAAAAAGCAAAAACTCTAGATCCATTTATTTAAGAGGAAAAGAGATTTAAAATTAAAAAATACAAATAGACACACACACATATACACACACACACACTACACACACATACTCTTTATGAATTTCAGAGAAGAAGGGAAAGGGAGAGAGAGAGAAAAAAATCAGTGATGAGAGAGAATCATTGAACTGACCGCCTCCTGCACACTCCACACTGGGGATGGAGCCCACAACCCAGACATGTGCCCCTACTGGGAAATGAACTTCGACCCTATGGTTCATAAGTCAATGATCAACCATTGGGACATGCCAGCCAGGCTTAACATTTTTGAATTTATACTAAAATATAAAAATGCAGTAAGAAAAGAAAACCTAAGCAAACTGACTAGTTAAAAATGCCTAAAGGAAACACCAACAGAATAAATAAGGGGAAATTAAATACTGTTCTTAAGAAATTCTATAAAATTCTCTCAATCTAATGCTAAAAATGTTTATGTAGTTATAGCTTTTTTAAAATAGCAAAAGTAAGCCGAAACCAGTTTGGCTCAGTGGATAGAGCGTTCTGTGGACTGAAATGTCCCAGGCTCGATTCCCGTAAAGGGCAAGTACCTTGGTTGCGGGCACATCCCTAGTAGGGGGTGTGCAGAAGGCAACTAATCAATGTTTCTAGCTTTCTATCTCTCTATCCCTTTCCCTTCCTCTCTGTAAAAAATCAATAAAATATATATTTTTTAAAATAAAATAAAATAGCAAAGGTAAGACACAAATATCCCAATGTAATAGTTTATTTTATTGGAAAAAGAAGTGAATTATAGTAATTCAGGTAAATTGCTAGTGAGTTTCATACAGCAAAAGCTTTAACAGGAATGTTTTTAATGAAAATATATTGTAGATATTTCACCACTCTATACCCATTTATATTCCAAATTCAGCTTGTAACACTTGTGTATTTTACGTTACAGTCCTCATTAAATACTTTTATAAGATCCACCATATCTCATTACAGGCAAGGAAATAATAAACCTTAAATCATAATGTGGAATTCAAAATCCATGCATATATCAAAACAATAAAGAATAGAATTTAATGTAAATTTAGACTGCAGCTCATTTGCATTATCAGCATTTCAATTCTAGAAAACATAATGGAGAACCTGCAATCAGAACTTCCTTGAAAATTATTCCATAAAACGGTAATTTTCACACTTCTTCAAAAATAAAAAATAAAAACTTAATTAGATATTTACCTGTTTCTGGGTTCCAAACATATACTATACCATCCTCACTTCCAGCAAAGAGAAAAGTCCCACAAGGTGTCAAAGTACTGTGAATCTTCTCCCGATAATTTGCTGCTCCTACAAATTTCCTTGCTGCTAATCTTTAAACAAAAAAGATTTTACAAATGTGGTAATAAGTTTTAAATACTTGATTTGCACTGAACAGTCAATTTTGGAAAATCTGCTAAGGGAAACATTCTAAGATGGATACAGACTAAAAAACATAGTACTGAGCTCAGAGAGTTTAGAATTAGGAGCAGAACGAAGGAATGCATCAATGTAATACAGTAAGTGGATATAGAAAGTGCCACATAAGAAGAAAAGAAAGAGTACTTTGTAGGATTGGGTAAGAAGAATTATTTCTAGCTATGAAGAGAGACCACATTATGGAAGTAGCATTTGAGTTGGTTACTAAAAAAAGAAACAGAATTTTTGTTTTACATATGATGAATTTTTTAAATTACACTTGATCTTGAGAAACATTAGACAGCCATATTATTAAATCACCTATTAAATATGACAAACAGGCTTCTCGGCTTTTTTGCTTTTGAAAAATAGCTAACACGGTTTTAATTTAATGCTTGCTATGTGCCAGTCAGATGCTATTATCGTCCCTGGTTTACAGAGAGGATATTACATAAATGCTCTGTTATCTGCTTTTTTCTGTCAGCAAAAAATCACAAGTAATGGCCCTCCATGTCAGAATATATAGATTATGCTTATCCTTTTAATTAGGTATATGTTATATTATTGTCTAAGTGTACCTTAAGACATTTTCTATTGTTGGACAACATATGCTGTTTCCAGCTTTCATCTACCACCATGATTACTATAACAAATATTTTATATATATATATATATTTGTATATATATTTTATATATATATATACAAATATTTTATATATATATATATAAAGTTATAAATAAAATATAACTTTTATTTATTTTTATTGACTTTATTGGCATGACACTGGTTAATAACATTACATAAGGTTCAAGCATACAATTCTATAACAAACCATCTGTATATTTCATTGTGTGCTCACCAGCCAAAGTCTAGTCATTCCAGTATATTTGACCTCCTCTTTATCCCCATTCCTCTCTGGTAACCTTCATACTACTGTCTAATTTTTTGCACTGTTTTATATTACCTTAACATAAATTCTGAGACTTGAGGTTGCAAAGTCAAACATTTCTGCAGTCTTTGCCATCCCATATAATGAAAGCCTAATATGCAAAGTGTTCAACCAGTCCCTATGACATGCACTGACCACCAGGGGGCAGACGCTCTGACTGGTAGATTAGCTTGCTACTGGAGTCCAGCTGATTGGGAGTGGGTGAGACAGGCCAGACACACCCTGGAGCCCTCCTGCGGTCCCTCCACGCCCCTTATCATGCACTGGTGAGGTCCCTTGGCCTGGCCTGTGCCTTCTCACAACCCAGGAGGACCCTGTGTGGGATGTTGAAGAGCTGGTTTCAGCCCGATCCCCGTAAGTCAAGCTGAGGGACCCCACCAGAGCATGAATCCGTTCACTGGGCTCTAGTATGCTATATTTTAAGTACTTTACATATATAAACTAGTTTATTACCCCCAAATTCTTATGAGTATATGTACAGGCAGTCCTCGGGTTATGTCAGACTCGATGCATGTTGGTACGTCATTTTGTAGTTACATTATCATCTCCCATTTATTTATTAAAAAAATAAGTTCCATCATTTCGACGTATGTACATATGTGCTTTATGTTTTTATTATTTATTATTTTATTAAAGGTCAGGAATTGCTATCTTTCAATTTTTTTACTGTTTCACTGCATTACTGCTGTGTATGTGCTCCACGTGAGTGACATCAGTGCTTATGTAGGTGGGTTCCCTTTAAGGGCAAAAATCGCATTATGTCGTGAAGTAGGAATGGATCTCTGATGTAACCCAAGAACCTACTGTATTATCTCTCCCATTTGAGTGATGAGAAAAGAGACACACAGGCAAATCAGGTAGCAAGGGGTGGAAAAGGCCGTATTTTATTCTAAGTTTGCCTCTGAGACCAAGCATAACCTTAATGCTGAAAATTATATTGCTTAAAAAGAGAATAACAAAGTCATACAGACTAACTCCTTCTGCCTATAATACAACTTATATTATCCCACCTCTGAACTTTATTCCAGGCTTTTCATGTTTTCCTACCGAACACACTTCCACCTTATCTAAATTCTATCTCTTCTTCAAGATTGAGCTCAAAGGCCTGTCTCTCCATTAAGTCTATATTATAGCCACCACCTTTATTGTCAGAAAGCCTATATTATAGCCACCACCTTTATTGTCAGGAAAAATGTAATCATTTTATTATATATTTATATTCATTAAAAATACATACTAAGGTCCTAGCAGGTTTTGTTTAGTGGTTAAAGCATTGGCTCTATAACTAAAGGGTCTCCGGTTCGATTCCAGTCAAGGGCATGTACTTTGGTTGGAGGCTCGATTCTGGGCCTACGTGCCAGAGGCAGCCAATCAATGTGTCTCTCTCACATTGATGTTTCTCTTTCTGTGTCTCTCCCTCATCCCTTCCTCTCTCTCTAAAAAAATAATTGAAAAAATATCCTCGGGTGAGGATTAACGAAAAACAACAACATACTGAGTATTTGCTGTCTGCCAGGCATAGCATGGGTGCTATGTATAGAAAAAGAACAACCTAGAAGGTTTCAGTTTAACCTAATTAAATGTTTTGTGTGTCATTCTGGAGGCAGTACACCCCCATTGTAAACTCCCGGTGAGCTACTTCTGCTAATCATGCTCCAGCAGCACCCTTGCCAGTGTCTTTGATAATTCTACATAGATATTTAAGGGCTCACCTCTTAGCCCTAAAAGGAGAACTGCAAAATAAACTAATATAGATGACCACATTTGCCTTTCTAAAAAGCAATAATGAAATCTGATAACATAGCTTCCTCCCCAGTATTTGCTGGAACTCAATATTGAAACAAAGCACACCAGAAGTCCATGCTGACTTTCCCAGAACTCCACTTCTGCCTCTTACATTAAAGGCATTTCCCTTCATTAGCCTTTTTCAAAAATAAAACAAGGATGAATTATTCAAAAGTCCTCTCATTCAGCTATGACACAGTATCATAACACTATGCTATAACTGTATCATAGAGATAAAAGATATTCCATGACAGAAGTTCTTTAAAATTGTGAAAATAAAAACCAACTAACTACATTTCAACATCAAAACTATTCACCTTTTGAGTCAGAGAATTCTTTGTTGCTGGGGACCATCTTAGGAGCTATCTAATGGATGGCATCTCTGGTCGCCATCCATTAGATAAACAACATTCAAAAATGTCCCCAGACACTACCAGATGTCCCCGAGGGACAAAATTGTCTAGGTGAGAATCGCAGCTGCATTTTATAAATATGAATTAATTAATTACTTATTCTATGAGTACTTATCTGTCAATAGTGAAATATACTTACATTCGAAGATCCATAATTCTCAATGTACTGTCTTTAGTATGGATTAACAAACGTTTTCCATTGGGATGAACCTCCAAATAATTTATTGGAATCCCCTTAAACTCACTTTCTTTAATTTCCTAAAATGATACAAAAAGGACTACTTATTACCATTGTAAAGTTGTCTAATGTTAAACCCTTCTTAAAGTACAAAAGTAGAAAATTGATTTTAAGATATAATTTTTAATTATACTATACAGGATGCTTTAAAATTATTTTAAAAGATTCCCAGTAATTTAAGTTTACGGTTAAAAACAAAGCTGATGAAATGTATTTTTTGTTTGTTATCTAACACCATATATCTTTGTAGTATATTCCCAAACAAGAAGCACTTCCTATAAACACATTTTTTAACACTGCAGTTTTTATCATCATGTCAGAAAGCTTCCATTCTTTAAATAAATTCAAAGTGCAGAATTAACTACCAAATTCTGTTTCCGTCTCAGTATTTCTTCACACATTTACTTCCACTTGTTCTGAAAAAGATATACTGTCGGCAAAATATTCTGAAATAATTTAATTTAGATTGTATTTTTAGGTATTTACTTATAGTTATTTAAGGCAGCTATAGAAGACATCGAACTAATCATGTCAAGAAATACATAAACGCTGATGAAGAATCTGCCTGAACAAGCCCTAGCCTTAATTAGAATAATGACCAAAGATCCTTCTTGTTTGGATTACCAGGAGGAAGAAAAAAATTACCAATGCAAAACCGCTTAGAATAAAGTCCACAGAGTCTACGAGAAGTCTGCTTTAACACATTGGCAGAATTACAAATCATCCTTCTTCCCCCTTCAGGTCTGCGTGTTGATTTTTTGCCCCTTTCTCCTAGAGGGTATCCTCTTCAGCGGCGGGCTGGCCTCGGCAGAGGTAGGGTCCAAACTGCTGCAATCCAGGTGAGCCTCTGCTTTGCTATTTGACACTAAGACCCGCTGTTAGCTATTTTTATTTATTTATTTATTTATTTATTTAAATTTTTAATTTTTAAAATTTTTTTAATTAAATTATCTTTATACATATACCATTGCCCCCCTTCCTCCCATATGTGCCCTCCCTCCCCAGAGTTTTGTGTCCAGTGGTTGTACTTATATGCATATATGCAAGTCCTTTAGTTGATCTCTTATTTATCCCAGATCTCCCTACCCTCCCCGTTGTAATTTGACAGTCTGCTTGTTGCTTTACTGTCTCTATATCTATCTTTTGGTTCTTCAGTTTATAATGTTTTTTATCATCCATAAATGAGTGAGGTCATGTGGTGTGTCTCTTTCATTGACTGGCTTATTTCACTCAGCATGATGTTCTCCAATTTCATCCAGGTTGCTGCAAATGATGAGAATTTCTTTTTTTTTTTATGGCAGCATAATATTCCATTGTGTAGATGTACCATAGTTTTTGGATCCAATCATCTGCTGATGGGCCTCTAGGCTGTTTCCAAATCCTGTAAGCTATTTTTTAAAGTTGCAGGAAAAGTCAAACACTGACACCACAGATGGAGACCTTACTGAGCTGAAGAACAACCATTTGAGGGGGGAGATGCACTGCTGAAGGTTTCAGCAACTGGAGTAACACTCACCCAGATGCCAATGTGCAAAATACAGAGAAAACTGCCTAGCAAATGCTAGGTACAAATTCAAGAGAAGTGCTGACAGACTTCGTGTTTGCAATTTTCTTCCATATTTTTCTTATTTATTTTATTGTTTAAAGTATTACATATACCCGAAACCGGATTGTTTTGGCTATATGTAATACTTTAAACAATAAAATAAATAGAATATAGAGTGTTGGCCTGGTTCAATTCCGGTCAAGGTCATGTACCATGGTAGCGGGCACATTCCCAGTGGGGGGTGTACAAGAGGCAGCTGATCTATGTTTCTCTCTCATAGATGTTTCTAATTCTCTATCCCTCTTCCTTCCTCTCTGTGGAAAATCAATAAAATATATATATATTTAAAAAATAATAAAGTATTACATATAGTATTAGATGTTTCATTTTTTCCTCATTGTCCACCCCCAGCCCCCAGCACATATTTTTATCATATTCTTGTTTAAACTATAAGAGGCCTAACTGTGAAGACCTCGTTCTGTATCAAGGCAGCACATGGACACTTCATCTTAAAGGACAGAGGAACATAGCTTAGCATCCCTCACACCGCTGGTTGAAGAGAACCAGTAAGAAACTCCAGTCTTGCCAAAACTGGTTTGACACAGTGGATAGAGCATCGGCCTGCGGACTGAAGGGTCCCAGGTTCAATTCCGATCAAGGGCATGTACCTTGGTTGCGGGCACATCCCCAGTGGGGGGTGTGCAGGAGGCAGCTGATGATGTCTCTCTCTCATCGATGTTTCTAACTCTCCATCCCTCTCCTTTCCTCTCTGTAAAAAATCAATAAAAAAATAAATTTAAAAAAAGAAACTCCAGTCTCTGTCTCATCCTGAAGCATTAAATACAAAAAAAAGTCTACCTTATTTCTTAACTTTTGACCGTCTCAAAAAATCACCCCAGGCTGCAGATTTTCAAGGTAAATTTTCCTTTTGGTTAATACACTGAGGTAAAGAAACATGCTTTTTAACACACACAGATTCTGCATTATAGACTCAGATTATTGAAACTGGTGCCTTCAAGAACTGGCCAATCCTGCAGCCATATATATATATATATATTTAGAATTCTTTTCAAATTGTGTGAAATTAAGGTACATCATGAATCCCAAGCCATCATTATTAATCTGATGATTTAAAATAGATGGTTTATTAAACAGAACTGATAGACTGAAGAGACTTAACTAAAGTTCATGAAAATTCTTTTACATGTACAGTGACTTTTTATTACACTAAACAATTATTATAACCTATTAATATTATGACGAATAATAAATTGAAACAAATTACTACTTATAGATGGTAATGTAATATAATATATATTCATTTTAGCATAAATTTCAGTAATGAAGCTCTGAATGCCACAGTGCAAATTAGAGCTCAAGAAAATTAAAGGAAAGTCTGACCAAAATAAAGAAATTTTCACTAAGTTACTATATCATCAATTAGCCATCAGAAAGATATGGTAATTAATCCGTGATAACAGACTTTTTGAGGACTGAGAAAACCTTAATTTTTTTAAAAGAGAGAACAGAATGCCCTGATGCCTTATTTTAAGGCCGTGTTGTTGAATGTTTTTTCTAATTTCTTTAATGAATGAAATGTGGTTTTCTACCTTATTTATACTCCAGTGGCGCACTGAATGCTGCAAATCATTAGCTTTGATGTAGGTATTCCAAACAACAATCACCCCCATGCAGTCTCCCGAATACATGTGATGACCTATTTAAGAAAATAAAATTATTCACTGATTAATGTTATGCAGAGGGTAGAGAGAAATATTATCAAGTTGGAAAAAAGCATTTCAGTAAAACAAAGAATCCTAGGACTACCAGAAGGTATTTCAATTTACAGAGCCAGAAAACCAAACACAACTAACACTCAAATCCCAATTATCTTTAAATGAATTTTTCACTTAAAATTATTTTTGATAACTTTTTTCCCTTTGGATTTCCCTGATTTTAATACAAAAAGAAATGAGCATCACAGTACATATGTACATTGCTCAAATTCCAAAGCCAGACAAATTATCTGAATTATCCAATATGTATCTGTATTGCTCAACCTACATAATTTATGTTATATTCCTAGAAAAGCACCTTTATTCTAATACATACTGTTAGCATAATGCCCGAGACCCAGCAGGTACTCAATGATCAGAGAATGAATAAAATAAATAATAGGTGTTCCAATTTAACATTAATTCTTTTTTAAATTTCCATTTATTTATTTAGAGAAAAAGAGAGGGGGGGGGTAGCAGAAGACAGATGGATAAATATTGATGTGTTTTTCCAATTATTCATGCATTCATTGGCTGGTTTTTTTTAAAAATATATATTTTTTTATTGATTCCAGGGAGGAAGAGAGAGGAAGAGAGAAAGAGAAATATCAATGATGATAGAGAATTATTAATCGGCTGCCTCCTACATGCCCCTCACTGGGGATCATACCTGCAATCTGGGCATGTACCCTTGACTGAACACTTCAGTCCATAGCCCAACATTCTATCTACTGAGCAACACCAGCCAGGGCAACTGGTTGATTCTTGCATGTGTCCTTAGAGGGCATCACACCCATAATCATAGTGCACTGGGATGATGCTCTAACCTTTTGAGCTGCCCACCCAGAGAAACATTAATTCTTAAAGTCAACCCATCTTAAAGTTGAATGGAACATTAGAGACCATCAAGCTCAATTTCATGCCCACTCAGAAATATTTTACACACCATTTTGAACAGATGGCCATTCAGAAAGTGAATTTCATATTTTAAGAAGTAGCATATTTAAATGATAAACTGTTCTATGTATTAGGGTGCTTTTTTTCCAATTCTGAGCAAAGAAAATCTGTCTTCTGTAGCTTTGGCTATATCTTTATCCACTTAAGCAACATAATTTAGCCAAGTAATGAAGAAATTCTTCATCTCCCTTTTTCAATCTGAGCTACTTCTATAATGACAGTTTTCAGATACCTTTCTATCATTGGCTGACTTTTCTGAATATGTTCCAATATATTAACAGCCTGAGAGTTGAACAGAGTACATTAGTAGTATAACTTTAATCTGGGCCCATACTAATTAATTATAGCTATAGTCTACATATCTAGTGACTTAAATAATGTAAAAAAAAAAAGTGACTATTTGATAGATATACATTCCTCTATTTTTTCAGTTAATAAAATAATCTATATTTTATATCTGTAAATCACCATCTAAACTATTCATATATTAAGATAAACCTTTAAGTAATTCCAAATTTCCTTTCTATATCTTCTGAATTAAAAAAATAATAATAATGTTGGTAGATTTAAAATTTATATTTTCAATATTCTTTTGAGATTTTTCTCTTCATCTTCTTTGTACCATTTAACTTAAAAGGCCATTTTAAAAAAAGTACTAAGGGGATAATCACCAACCCAAAAAACGTAGTTATGAAATTTTGAACATGACTGGCTGTTACAGCAAAGATTAGTTAAATCTAAATGTTTAGGAACTTAATGATTTCAAAATTACAAACACAACTCCTTTAATGCCAAATCTATGCCCAGATCTATCATATATTCTGCAAAATATGTATAAATCTCAGTATACACAAACAATCATCAATATATAAACTCCCTCCCATGCTTAAATATTTATTATCCTAGTAAGTTAAAGCAAATTTTAATTCTTCATACAACTAGCTGTGATTTGGAATGTGTTAACTGACATACCTTCAGTATCAAAACAGAGAGAGTTGATGAAACTCTTGTGAGTGTCAAACTGCTGGATCAATATGGCAGGATCCTCTTTCATATCAACTTTCCATATCCGTACCACAGCATCGTAACATCCTGTAACCACCAGCTCTTTCGCAGCTGGGTGGAACTTAGCCGTGTAGACAAAACAAGGATGAGGTAAAAGTTTGAAAGTATTTGTATTGTTTATTTCATTTTTCCATACCCTGGAAAAGGATAAAAAGTTACATGTTGCTTCTAAAAGACACAAGTTTCTTTAAAAGTTTCTCTAGGAACAGTAGAGCCAATGGGATGTATGTAAGCAAGTGACAATGATAAGCTAACTTTAAATTTTGTAACTAAAAATTAACCTAATCACATTTGATGGCTGGGGTTCTTTACATTTGACAAAGCTATTTCTTACAGTTATTATCAAGTATAATGATGAATTTGTTTACTAATTATAATCTATACTATCAAGTTAAAAACTATTTGTCTTTTTAAAATCTATCTACTTTTGACATTGACTAAAAAATACACATCAAATAATTGGTAAAATATACACTTAGTATAATATACATAAAAATAGGATATTTTAATGATTATTTTTAATGATTTAATGGGGAGAAACTTTAATGATTTCTCATTAGGTTATGATTATGCTTTTGCAAAGTACTTACTAGTGGAGGGTTAGATAATAGGATACTCTATTAACTTTATATTAGTAATATAGATGGTAAACATGAAGATCTTGATGACCTATAAGCCATAATAAAATTACTATATAAATACTTTAGTAAAATAGGTTAAAATACCAGAAAACAGACAATTCAATATGAAGCACTCTCATTATCTCTACCTATAAATAATGGATAATTAAAAATATTAACATTATTATCATTGCTATAGTCATGACAAAAGAGTAAACTCTATGGGTTAAACTGTTATGTCAATTCTAATCAATGTGTAAAAACAGATAAAATCTAGCAACCGACAGGTGCTATATGAGTGTGGAATACTGTATTTTTAAAAGATTAAGTTACTAGAATTTGAAGAATACACTAACCTTTTAATATGGGGATTCACAATACATCTTTTTAATTACTGCCTAAGAACTAATGAAAATTAAGTCAATAAAAGAAAAAATACAGTTGCTGTTCAAGAATAACATTCTATGAATTTTCTCAGCATCTGCTTAATTTCACTGTAAATTGAAGGCAGTCATCTAATGAAAATAGGAAGAGTGTGGTTAAGTGGTGAGCACTTGAAGCATGGAAAGGTTTAGATCTGCTACCAGAGAAAGAATAGCTGAATAAAGATGAATAAAAGGACTGCTTGGGAGAGATGAAAACTAAGTTATTTTCAGATTGACAAATCCAGTAAAGTCTTAGTAAGATTACATGTTTTTCTCTGGCATAATCTGGCATCTGACAGAACAGCTACCGGTATGCCATTCTTGAGGACCCCATTAAGAGTGACTAATAGTAGTAGAGTCCCAGCTAGGCAGAGAGGTAAAAATCTATTGTCACCAGTTGTCATCTATTTCATCTATCTATATAAAAGCCATCGCAATTGAACACACAACTGAACAGGCTATGTGGGGCGAACAGGCTGTCAGGGGGGTTAGTAAGGGGCAACCAAATGACTGAGCAGCAGGCTGTGTGAGGCAACCAGACCAGCAGGGGGGCAGTGAGGGGCAACCAAACAACTGTTGGGGGGGCAATTGGGGGCCACCAGGCCAGCAGGTGTAGACAGTTGGGGGCAACCAGGCCAGCAGGGGCAGGGCAGTTGGGGACGATCAGGCCGGCAGGCAGAGGCAGTTAGGGGTGATCAGGCTGGCAGATAGAGGTGGTTTAGGGTGATCAGGCAGGCAGGCAGGTGAGTGGTTAGGAGCCAGCAGTCCAGGATTATGAGAGGGATGTCTAGCTGCTTGTTTAGGCCCAATCCCGGGGAGGCTGCAGGCTGGGCTGAGGGGACCCTCCCTCTTACTCGTGCACAAATTCCGTGCACCAGGCCTCTAGTTTAAATATAAACAAACAGTAATGATAACATCCTAGTCAATTAGACATTTTATATTGAAAAGGAAGCTGATAAGATTAGTAGAAAAGGGGACCCAGATATGAGAAATATCTGTAAAGAGTGTATTTAAATGAACAGGAAGCTTAAGAGTGAAATCAGAGTGGATCTCAAACTGCTCTAAATGTGAATTTTCTAGTCTATAGAGATAATAAATACCATTTGTTGGAATCAAATTCAAAGGACATATTTAAGCCCTAACCAATTTGGCTCTGTGGATAGAGTGTCAGCCTGCAGAATAAAGGGCAGTGGGTTCGATCCTGGTCAAGGGCACATAACTCGGTTGCAGGCATAATCCGCACTCCCGTAGGAGTGTGAGGGAGGCAACAATCGATGTGTCTGTCTCATAATGATGTTTCTCTCTCTCTTTTCCCCTCCCTTCCACTCTCTAAAAATCAATGGGGGGAAAATATCCTCAAGTGAGCATTAACAACAACAATAAAGACATCTATAAAGGACATATTTAAAAGTATTTTAAACAGCTGCCTAACAATATTTTTAGATACAACCAAGGCAGATCAAGCAGCTACAAAAAAAAAATGTAAATGTAACTTTAAAAAAAATAGCTCTTAAAAAAATAGCTCTTAAAATATTCTATTGTGAAACTTATTAAATTGAGAAGGGTTATTTTAAGACTCACATTTGGAAAAACACAAATATCTGACAAGCTATATAAAGTTTTTAAAACATAAGTGATATTCATTTATTTACCCTACACTATGTACTGAGCACCACTGTGTCCTGGGCTCTGTATCCAGCTAAGAGTGAACATGGAATCCTTACCATCAAGAGCTTATATTCTAGGAAATATTCCAGATGTTTAATAACTTCATCTCAAAACATTAATTCAACAATGTACATAATAATATTTAATTATATATCACATAAATAAAATGTATTTTACAAATATGTCTTCAAGAAAGAAGTTTTCACTACTGCTTTTTTAATTAATCAACAATACTGATAATCCTTTGATAAACAAACATATTTGAAACATAAGAATATTCTATCACTTTATAATCTCTTTGCTTTTCTTGATGGCAAACAGCACACACATTGAATACTACACAAATATACTAACCTGGCAGTGCCATCAGATGATGCAGTAAGGATACAGTGATCATCCTTTGTCCAGCAGAGATCATAAATGATATTTAGGTGGCCATACAATTTTCTCATGAAACGTCCAGAAGGAATTTCATATACTAATGAAAATATTAAAAAAATTAGTAGGTTTCCAGAGGATCCTTAATTCAGTAATATACAAATTCATTATTTATAATAGTTTATAAAGTAAGCACTGTCTCTAAGAATATGACCAAAGATTTTCAGTATAAAACATCTCAAAATCTACTCACAAATAGTTTTTCACTTGTTTTAGACACACGAATTTACACATAAAATTTTATATATACTACAATTAATAATTACTCTCATTTCTCCAAAGCAATTTTCCTTATAATTTTTGATAGTCAGTTAATCATATATCGATAATAAATAACATTTAAATTACAATTTAGTTAAAAGATTCTATAATTTGGGCTTTTATTAAAGAGGTATTATTTTACCTAAAAATTGATTAAATTTTATTTGAAGTAGCCAAAACTTTATTTGAAGTAACAAGAAATTTAAATTGTATTATTGTCAGAAAAAATTCTGACACTAAAATTTTAGATTTAATAAAGGAATTAATAGGCAACCAATTTGATAAACAGTATAGTATTGCTATATTAATGTACACAATAACATCATCTAAGACAGCAATTTTCTACCTTTTTAATCTCATAGCACAGAGAAAATAATTGCTAAAATTCTGCAGCACACCAAAAAAGTATATTTTTTGGCCTATCTGACCAAAATAATAGGTATACTTTTGATTCATTCACATTGGACTGCTATTGTTATGTGGGCTGGTGTCATTTTTAAATTTCACAATCTAAGGGTAGAGAGGTCAATGCCCTGATTAAATGAATAGTTAGGTATTACATGTTTTAAAAATTCTATCAGCACACAACTTGAAAAATCACTGATCTCAGATAATGAATTTAACAGACAACAAAGTTTCCAAGTCTCTACTTCCGCCTAGTGGTCAAACTAATTGCACTTAAGATAAAGTTGTACAGAAGTACTTCTGACATAAGTAAAGACTGTGTTCTTGGAGGCTAAGGATGACTAGTGAAAGTATATTCCAATATCACACTTTCAGAACCTGTCAACTCAAGGCATTTTTAAAAATCTCCCTTTAACCGTTTGCTGACTACTAAACTAACCAAACAGAGACTTCAGTGGTAACACATGACAGAGGCAAAAGACTACAGACTTAGTCCAGAAAAGTCATAAACAAACAAAACAACATATCCTGATTGACTAGAGAGAGTGGGGGAAATGAATTCCAGAGCTGCCATACTTCAATATTTAAAGTACCCAGTTTTTGACAAAAAAATTAAGAGGGTGTGAAAAGAAAAACGAAACAGAAAAGTATGACCATACACAGACAAAAAGCAGCCAATAGAAACTGTTCCTGAGGAAGCCTTAGTCTTCCCTTTAAATCCATGCTTATAAAGATGTTCAAAGATCTAAAGAAAACAATGTCTAAAGAATTAAGGTGTGAGAATTTCTTATTAATAAAAAAACAGAAATTATAAAAATAGAACAAACAGTAATTATAGTTGGAAAGCACAATAACTAAAATAAATCACTGAGGGGCTCACAGCAGATTTGAAGTGGCAGAAGAATCAGGACTTGAAGTCAGGTCAATCGAGAGATTATGTAGTTTAAGGAACAGAGAGAAAAAGAATAAAGAAAAACAAATGAAAATGCAGAGGCTGTGGGACACCATCAAGTGTACCAATACAGAAATTACAGGAGTCCCTGAAGAAGAGAAGAAATATAAAGAGGTAGAAAGAACACTTAAGAAATGAAGACAAAAATATTCCTAAATTTGTGAAAAACATTAATTTGCATATTCTACAAGCTAAACAAATTCTAAATAGACATCATAATCAATCAAAAATTTAAAAAAGGTTCTATATTTTAAGATTTAAACAGTAAGTAAAGGTAAATTTACATAGCATTTTGAACAAGATTTTTTAAGCATAAGTAGCACATATTTGTCACAGAAATGTCAAAAACATATAAATCAAAATGAAAATAATTCTTTACCACAAAGAATGAAATCACTATTAATATTCTGGAGTATGTTTCCTAAGAATCTTTTTTCCCCCTATGCATAGGTTTTGGTGAATTTTTAAAATAACATAGCTGTAATCAGACTACACAAATAATTTTGTATTTTTTAAAACTAACATTATTTCATAAGGAAGAATATTTATTTAATAAATGTCTATCAAGCTGATTACAAGTCCCTGATGAAAAAAACCAAATCAACAAAGAAATAACTGTGTGAAGCTGAGGAATGTTAAACTGGATGTAGTGCTTAGAACAGACACCCATGAGGAGCTGAGGTAAGCTGTTTTTATTATTAAGCAAGAAAGGAAAGTAGCAATGTCTCTAAGTCTAGAAGAGCATGATAATGCTCATATATATAAAATCTCTGAAAAGATATAGATATTTCTTAACATAGTTTCCTATAGTTTTTAAAGGCACATTGAGAATGGGTTTTGGCCTTTCTGCTGATGTCTCTATCGTAATAAGAAGTCTCAATTCAGGTCCTCTAAGCCAATTATTATTATTCTAATGCATTACAAATTTGAAGACTTTCATAATTCAAATTATTACTGCTATTGACTGAGTATACTAGACTAAAATTCCTCCTGAGATTTATTGTCCTTCTGGTTCTAAATTTGTATATTTAAAATATGAAATGCTTACAAAAATCCTCCTGCATGTTTTAAATAAGTACCATCCTTCAGTATACATCTGAAAATATATTGTATAGAAAAGTGTAAGATTCTACTTCTGAAAACATACTGTAGAGAAAAGTGTAAAACTCTATTGAAAACATAGTGTAAAATATTAAAGAGAACTGTTACTTTACTTGAAGAAATCAATTTAGTAGTGCTGGGGGATTATTCAAATTAAAGTTTCAATGAGTTTTAAAAACCAAAGACCAATAAAGACCAATAAAATTAATCAAACAGGATTATTACTCACAAATAATTGGATATCCATCTCGGCTGGCACAGGCTGCTGCTAATATTCTTCCATTGTGAGAAAAAGAAAGACAGAAACATCCTCGTTCTCCTGCATTTAGTGAGAAGAGGTGCTTGTTTGGGATACGGCAAGCCTAAAAAACATATATTTAAAAAACAAATTAAGAAACAATAAAATATGAAGGCTATTTGTTAATTTCAATGACTGTAGTTGGTGTTAAGTCCCTTTATAGTGATTGAGAGGAAGAGAAAAGCAAGTAATCGGAATGATGAAAAACCACAGTAATTTATTTTACTGTCTGAAGAGAAAAACTAATTCTCCATAAAATTAATTGAATTTATACTCCATATCTAACTCATACTTAATTCACCTAAAATGAGTAGAAAATTTCAATATCTTACACTCCAAAGCGGTCACTACCCGATAGCTTTTATATAACCACACACAAAAAAAAAAATGTATTTCACACTCTTATTCCATGACAGCAACTAATATGTGATGTTTGCTGAGCCATAAACTTGTTCTGAGACCATAAATGCCTTTAGGGCCTAACTGAAACCCAGGATGTGTAACTCATTCATTCTCTCTCTTTTTATTTCTTAAAATAATCATCATTTGTGGCTACCTTCCAAACTGTGTTTCCAAAGTAATGAATCACTTCCTATTGGTTTCTGATTCACTAATTTATTAAAATTTCTTCAGTAATTTTTGTCTTCATTCCCTATTAGCAGATGAAACCAAAAATTTTCGTGTATTAATACCTATTGTTCTAATTCTGCCTCTTCCAAACTTCAGTGAGTCTTAGTTCCTATATTTCTTATTATTCTAAAAGTTTAATTAAACATACAAATATATTGGGCCCTTACTATATGTCAAGAATGTGGTATTTTATTACACATGTGTTTTCATATATTCATCACAGCAACCCTATGAGTGACCATTATTACTGTATATTATGAATAAAGATTATTCAGAAGATCAAGACGGGCTTAATGAGCCTCAACAAAGACTATTAGTTGAAGAGCCTGCATTCAAGATAGGTACCAGGTTTTTCACAAGTGGTATCAAGATTTAGCAGCATTATTAGGGGGTAGCATTATGCGTAGCTACCTGGAAGGTGAAAAATTCAGTATACATTTATTAGGTGCCTATAATGTACCAGGCACCACGCTACCCATTTCCTCCTCCATTCTCCATCTGAAAAGAAAGATGAGGCTAAAAGAGAAAAAAACTGAAGGAAAAGTCAGGAAGTTTTACAATCAGATGCTGCTGCTCCCAGGAAAACTGCCTGATAACCTAAGCTAAAATCACTGAAAGCCACAATCATTTTCTTTCTATGTGCAGGGTTTGACAATGTATTTAGAAAAACCAATAAAAGTTTCACAGCAATAAAGGGCCTCAACATCTTTGACTCTTTCCCCTTCTTTACTATCTTGTCAGTCACTAAATTATGCGGGAACACTCTTTCTTTCTTATATTCATTTCTTATTTTTCATTTTTGTCACCATTATCCCAAGGTTAGACTCTTTCACATCAATGATTGCAACTACCTGCCATCTGGTAGATTTCTCTCATTCTGATGTATCCTACTTCCAGATCTCCTCTATGCCACTGCCAGCACTAATCTGTCCTAAAATATGATTGAGCCAATACTTCTCTCCTACGCAAAAATCTTCCATTAATTTCTCACATCCCACACAATCATATATTAGGCTATCATTCAACACACTCCACAACATGGGCCTGCCTAATCTATCATACAGCCCTATCTCTTTTACAAACTCTCATTTCCAAGCCAGCCAAGTTTTTGAGTGCCTGATGAATACCTCAGTCCTTTCCCACCTATTTACAACTTTGCCCCCAGATGAAATACCTTTCCCTAGCCTTCTTCACCCACCCCTAATTTGGCCATCCTTTAAAGTCTGCCTCAAGCCCGGCCAATGTTGTTCAGTGGTTGAGCATCAACCCATGACCCAAAAAGTCCCTGGTTCAATTCCCATTCAGGGCACATGCCTGAGTTGCCAGCTTGATCCCCACTGAGGGGTGTATGATGGGGCTAGATCCCCAGTGGAGGTGTACTCCTTTCAAATCAATAAAAAAAAGGCCAAAACAAACACCAAAAATAACATATCTTTTATCTTTAATTTTAAAAAATGATTCTCTTTCATTGATGTTTCTATCTCTCCCTCCCTCTCCCTAAAATCAATAAGAAGAAAAGGATGTCAAAAGTGATACAAAATACAGACAATGAGAAGCTCTGGGAAAACAATCATCCTTATGTATATACTGAATGTTTGCATAAGTTGAGATTTTACATAAACTGCATTGGTATTAGCTCAGACTTAAAATAAACCACTCCACTCTTTGTGGAAACAAATAAGTGATTTACAAAACTGTATCAGCAATGCTTCTTGCTACTGCAAAATATACTAACCAAAGTAAGAAAAATTTAGTATAAGTTTAAATACTGCTCCACTTGTGGTAGAAGAATATACATGTACATATCTCCACCAAAATGTGATTAAAGAAGGAGCAAAAACCTTTTATGAATACATTAAGAAAACATTTAAAAATAATAAAATCCATTAGTAGACATACCTTTTATAGACATAAAAATGTATGCTTTTTACTTGTTATAGGCTGAAATGAGTACCCCAAAATTCATTTGTTAAAGCCTCAACCCCAGTACCTCAGAATGTAATAGTATTTGGAGATAGGTCTTTAACTAGCTCAGGAGTGAGGAACGTCCAGCCCACAGGCCGTAGGAGGCCTGTGAAATTATTTTGTTTGGCCCTGCCAATGCATTAGGGGTGAGTTAATTAAATGTTTGACCAAATATAGCAAGCTAATTTTTAAGTTGATAATTTTCCCCATAAATGATATTATAAATATCCAAATGGTCCTTGTCAGAGTCAAAAAAAAGGTTCCTCACCCCATGAACTAGCTAATTAAGTTAAAATAAAATTGTTAGAGAAGGTCCTGGTTAGAAGAGGAAGAGACACAGGGATATACAGGCAATGGAAAAAGACCATGAAAGAGCAGCAAGATGGCAGCCATCTGCCAGGCAAGAATAAGGCTTCAGAGTAAACAAACCCTGCCAATCCTCAATCTTTGCACTTCCAGTCCACAGAACTATGAGTAAATAAATTTCTGTTATGTATTATAAATCAAACAGTCTGCATGGTTTTTGTGTATATTTTTTTTTTATGGCAGCTCTAGCAAACTAATAAAACTGTCCCATTCCTAAACAAACAACCTAGATAGTGTTTTTATGCAAATGATAAACACTCTATCATTACTTGTCAAGTGAATTATTGGAAAGACACTATGTGAATTATAAATAAGGGTAATCTGAGAGTTTTAAATAGCAGCCTAATTACCCTAGGAGCGGCTGGGGAGTGTTTACTAGGAAATAAGTAGATACCTAAATGAACCCAACATTGAACACTTCACCTGCCCAGGCAGTCGTTTCCACTTCACTACTTCCTTAGAATCTTCTAGTCCAGGTTCTGTGTCTACTGCGCTTGACTCACGCTGCTGCTCACAATACACTGGTTTACCTTTTTCCTCCTGAAGAGCCACCACAGAACGGTAAGATGGCTTTACCTAAATATGTATAGAAAAGTATATATCCTATTAATTTTTTTCTCTTTTCTAGCATAGATGGTTTTTAAAATACTAAAACAGACAATATGGAAATGTTTTCAAAATGTAACCCAGAAAAAAATTGAACTTTTATTTGCACATTATTCTAAGTAACGTGAAAGTTGCTTGAAATTACTGTCCTATAATCAAAAAGCCTTAGAAGCTAGGAGAGAAAAAAAATCAAAAAAGAGAACTCAAGGGATAATATGATACTGTTTGAATAACTCTGTTCCTTTGTTTCTGCCTCTTCACCAACACCTATCAGATGTTATGTCAAGGCTCTGATATAAGATGGTATCTTTGGCCTTAATAACACAAAACTGATATCATTAAGATCTAAATTTTTTTAAATCTTTCATTTCTTAAAAATAGATTTAACTCAATCAATGCAAACCAACTCTGTAATCATAGTTTATAATATTAACTACAGAATATGCAACTGTCCTGAAATATGTTACAGCAAATAAGACAAAAGCAAAAGTTTTAGCTCCTTTTAGGATATATTCTTTGCTAAGATGATTATAATGTTTTAAATTAAATGTATTGAGGGTGAAATTGATCAACCAGGTTTCAGGTGTGGGTTTCTATGTTATAAGACCTGTATAAACACCATATGCCCACAATCTGAAGTTAAATCCCATCATATATATTAGGACCCTATATATAATGTCACCATATATTAGGACCCCTTTCTAGATTATTATCTATATATATAAAAGCCTAAGTGACCTCCCTTTCAACAGCTATGATGCACACTGACCACCAGGGGGCAGAAGTTCAATGCAGGAGCAGAAACAACAGTCATGGAAACATGGTATAGACTGATGAATCTCAGAGGAAAGAGGGGAGAGAGGACGGTGGGAAGAGATTAACCAAAGATCTTATATACATACTAGAGACCTGGTGGACAGATTCATGCACCCGTGGAGTCCCTCTGCCTGGTCTGTGGGGATCAGGCCAGAACTGGCTCTCTAACATCCTCCTAGGGATCTTGGATTGTAAGAGGACACAGGCTAGGCTGACGGACCCCACCAGTGCACGAATCTGGGTCTCTAGGAATTTTACATATGGAAAATAGCAGCAGAAATACTGTTTACTAACTATTAAATAATATTGTGAAAAATGTGCTAGTAACTCATGTCTGCAAACTATAGCCCAGATCAAATCTATCCTGCTGACTCTTTTTTATAAATAAAGTTTTATTGAAACACATTTTCAAATTGTTTTGTTATCACTTATATATGTCTATGTAGCTACTGTCGTGCTACAAAGGCAAAGCTGAGTAATTGTAACACAGACTATGAAGTTTGAAAAGCTTAAAATATTAACTGTCTGGTCCTCTATGAATAATACTTGTCAACTCCTGCTTTACATGATTCTTTTATCTTTAATTTTTTAAAAACAGTATTATTGCCATGGCTGGCCAGGTGGCTCAGTTGGTTGGAGTGCCATCCTGTACACCAAAAGGCTGCAGGTTTGATCCCTGTGTGGGGCTCTTATGGGAGGCAACCAATTTATGTTTCTCACATCAATGTTTCTTTCTCTCTCCCTTCAACTCTCTCTAAAATCAATAAAAAGACAGCAAAATAAACACCAAAAATAACATAGACTCAAGTGAGGTTTAAAAACACCACAGTTTTTTAAAAACAACATTTTTCCTAACAATGAAATCTCTATTATTTAAAACTCATTTAAGTATATTTTAAGTATCAGCTATTACAGGATGAATACATCATCTTATACAAATTCATTAAAATAATTCTAGAGATCTTACATTTTAGAAATGGAAAACATGCTACCATTTAATCTCAACAAGAGGACACACGCTTGCTTACATGTGTTATTAACTTACACATTCTGGAACTTTCAGTCCTCTTACAGTCACATACAATGTGGACGGATAATGATTTCTTGGACATTTTAACCACCATTCAAAAACCTCAACAACATTTGCATGGGGTCGAGGCTTAGGAGGTGGATAGTACAGCTGCAAGCGAAGTTTTGAATTGATGTTTACATTTCCATTGGCTCCTAGAAGCTTAAAATAAGAATGCAAGTAACACTTTATGTTCATTGACAATAGAGGAATCAGATAAAGCAATAGTGTATAGTCACAAACTCATTTTAAAAAGATGAATATGGCATACAGAAATTCCTTAAGGTTTACAAAGCAATGGAAACAACATTGACATAGTTGGCTAACCACAGTTCCAAGTCACTTTGACAAAAGGTAATTCCAATAAGGGACTTTAAATTAAAATATTTTCCTGACAGTTATCTTTTTGCCCATACAACTTCGGATGGTTGGTAAAAAAATTATATTACTTTCCACATAGAAGGTGGTCAATATACCTTTGAGATAACAATGATAAAAATCAAATATATATTATTTAAACACGGAAACACATTTTCCATTTATTTAGTATCAGTATTTTTAATGGTAAAATCTTATAGTTTTGATTTTTTAAAATTCAAAACCATTTTCAAATAGTAATTAACATGGTTAAACTTATTAAACCCATTCATTACATTTAAAAAATGTTTTAGTCTACCTTCTTCAAAAGGATCTAGTTGGTCCTGGCCAGCATGACTAGAACAGTGACTGGCACATAGAAAGAGCTTAATTAATATTTGTTAAGTTGAATAAATGACAATGGAGCTGTGTGTTTCTTTTTTATGCTGTATCCTTACAGCCCAATCATGTACCTGGCATAAACTAAACACTCAATAAATGTTTAAGAATATGAATGAACATCACTCAACCTTGAATTAGTAGCTCTACCACTGAAATCATACCTTAGATCATAACTCCTTATATGAAACCAAAGTAACTTGGGGAAAAGCAACCAATCAGATTAGAAGATTATTTTAAAGTCTATGAAACAGAATAAAAACATACCTTGAGAAATGCCCAGGCAATTTTCCGAAAGCCACATTCCTGGTTTTGAATTTCAGAGTTATTCCTAATTTCATCCATGCTTAAGAAATCAAGAATCTGTAAATAAATATTTAAAAATTACTTCACAGAAGCCTAGGCTACCTAAAGTTTAATATTTTCTAATAATATATTATGAAAATGGAAAAAGCATTTGTTCATTTTAAAGTTTTCCTTATAGGGAGAAAAAATATTTTCATCTAATTTCACTAACCTTTAAATTAATTCATACTGTTAGTGAGGTCCATTTTAAAAAAGATTTATTTAAAATCCAAGACAAAATACTAGTTGCCTTAAATATAGTCTAGGCACAAATACTAGTACACAAGGCTTAGAATACTTAAACTTTGATCATTTTTTAATGTATGAGAGCAGGCTTCGAAGGACTGTTTATTCAAAAACCCGTGGTCTTATTTGTCTCTGAGTCTTTCCTTGGGTCATCTTCCTGAAATAGGGAATTTTCTCTTTGAATAAATGTTGTAGTTGGGCTTCTCAGGAAAATTTCTTTCATGTATCTCCATCCTGTCTGGATGCCAAAGCTCATGGAATTATTACTAACCTGCCACAGAGACTATCTATATTCTAGGTACTTGTCAAAAAGTATCACTTTGAACTTACTGGTATTTATCAAAAGTTCAGCTGAGGTAACAAATCTTTAGAGAAGAATGCTGTAAAAAATAATATGGACTCCACTCATCTCTGTTCTTTATATTCTTAAACCTGTCTTCAGGTGTAATACATGCTCAGTGAAAAAATACTGACAATATAAAAAAAATTACAAAGTAAAAACAACTTGCAATCCAGATTCAGAGTTGATCAACATTAACATCTACATGTTTACAGGTTTACACACATCTAAACCTTTTCCTGTGCATTCCTAAATATTTCTATATTACTACTACAAATCAAATGCTATTTCATAAACTATTTTGATATGCTAAATTGTGGATATCTCTTCAAGTCAATAAGTACATATACCATGTGTTACAAATACCATAAATTAAATAAAAAACCATAATTTATTTAAACAAACCTCTTACTGATTGAAAAGACATATCTAAAATTTTTGCTATTATAAACAGTGCTTAGGTAAATACCCTTGCACATACATCTTTGTATAGTTATCATTTTTTCCCTTAGTAGAAATAATTAGAGGTGCAATAAATTTTAAATACTTCTGGTAGATATTATCAAGTTGTCCTCAAAACACCCTTAAGAAGTAGAAATCAAAAATTAGTTTTGGCCCTGGCTGGTTTGGCTCAATGGACAAAGTGTTGGCCTGCAGACTGAAGGGTCCTAGGTTTGATTCCAGTCAAGGGCATATGGCTGGGTTGCAGGCTCAATCCCTGGTGGGGGGCATGTAGAAGGCAGCCAATCAATGATTCTCTCTCATCATTGATGTTTCCATCTCTCTCTCCCTTTCCCTTTCTCTCTAAAATCAATATATTTAAGGGAAAAAATTAGTTTTGTAAACAATAACACATTATACTAAAACTTAAAAAGCAACCAAAAGTGTTTATAATCCAAGATTTTTCTTAAATTTCATATTACTAAAATGAATATGAGAGACTATTATAGTAACAAATGACAAATTTCTGTGACAAAGAAAAAATTCCTTCACATACAAATTATATCACTTAAAAAAATCACAGCTTTGCATAAATCATACATAATCAGATGTAAATGGTGAATATTTGCTTCCTAAACACACATAGATCACCTAAAAGTTAAAGATCATAAAAACAAGTAACTACAAAAGCAATCATTGGTTCTGGCCATGTCTTGCTCTTCCCATGCTAAAATTCCCCATCTTGCCTAAACTGGAAAATAGGTTTCCTCAACTTTCTTTTGCTTATGGAGAGATAACATGAATTAGTTAAAAGAAATATGGTATTTAGGTTTAAGCTAACTTCAAATACAAATTACCTGCACTTAAAATTGGAATAACTGAAAAAAAATCACTTTACACTTAAAAAAATTACTTTACATTCTTTGATTTCCTTTGCAGTAAAAAATCAGACTAGCGCCAAGACCAGTTTGGCTCAATGGATAGAGCATCGGCTTGGGGACTGAAGGGTCCCGGGTTCGATTCCGGTCAAGGGCATATACCTTGGTTGCGGGCATATCCCCAGTAGGGGGTGTGCAAGAGGCAGCTGATCGATGACTCTCTCTCATCGATGTTTCTAACTTTCTATCTCTCTCCCTTCCTCTCTGTACAAAATCAATAAAATATATATTTTTTTAAAAATTAGACTAGCATGTCAGCTCAAAGGCCATTTACTCCGTAAAGCTTTCCTTAACAGATCAGACACTCCAACTAACCTTGACATCTAAAAAGTTCTACTTCATTTGGTTATATATTTCATTGTATTGGTCAACAATATGTTTATGTTCACCTTTTTCTCTTAGTAGTATACAAACCCTTAGGAGTCTGGTATTGAGTTTACACTTTATGAAATAAGTTAAGAATATAGAATTACATAGATACAGATTAGATTCAACACTTCAGTTAATAGTCATTGCATTGTTGTAATTATTTAAAAAAAAAAAAAAGAGTAAATCCAATGACTAAATATTTGCATTAGTAAATACTCAACAAATATGCTATTACTTGTATCTCCACTACATGTTATAACACTAAATAATAGAAACTAAATTCTCACACTATTTGGTTGTATATTAAACTACTAAAAACAATAGCTTACATTTTTACTATGCAATTGGCCCTATGTATCTGTGGGTTCCACATCTGAAGATTCAACTAAACGCACATCACAAATATTTTTTAAAAATCCCAGAAATTTCCCAAAAGCAAAACTTGAATTTGCCATACACTGAGCACTATGCTGAATCAATGTGAATGAAATGATGTGTAGGTATACTCTGCTGCAGCCTATATGCAAATATAGATTATATGCAAATATAGATTGTATGCAAATATGCAACAATTAATACTATAAGGCACTTCAGCACCCACAGATTTTGGTATCTGCAGAGGGTCCTGGAACCAATCTCCTGTGGATACCGAGAGATGACTATAATAACTAAAATTTAGTTTAAATTGCTCTATTCAATTCATACCTCAAAGAACAGGATGACTTTAGGGCTTTCATCAAAATTTCGAAGCAAATATGGAAAGTTTTCATTAAATATAATTTGTTCTTCCCACTCTGGAAGCCTTGATTTTAACTGTTTAAAATCATATGGCTGGGTCATAATAGGGAGAATATAATCCACATTGTCTTTTTCAAAGTAAGATGAAACAGGCCGTTCACTGTTCAAAAAAAAATATTTCTATTAATACAATTCTTTATAAATTTGAGAATGTGAGCAATAATAAAAAATATGGTCTTCAAAATCAGGCAAGTAGAGATAATAAATAGCCATGATTCACCAGGAAAAATTACTTTGATTGTCCATCTAGAAAATTATAAATTTTATGAGACTTAAAAGTGGTAGTACTTCCTTTTGCACTTACATTCTATCAATTGGTTTCACAGAATTATTTTATTATAGAAATATAGCCAAAACCGGTTTGGCTCAGTGGTAGAACGTCGGTCTGCAGACTGAAAGGTCCCAGGTTCGATTCCGGTCAAGGGCATGTACATTGGTTGCAGGCACATCCTCAGTAGGGGGTGTGCAAGAGGCAGCTGGTCGATGTTTCTCTCTCATCGACGTTTCTAGCTCTCTATCTCTCTCCCTTCCTCTCTGTAAAAAATCAATAAAATATATATATTTTTTAAAAAGAAATATTTTATTATAGAAATATAAAGTGAGAGGTATGACTATACCTTCAGCATTCAAAGCTGGAATAAAGTACTTCCTTCAGAATCTTAAATGAGTTTGTCATAAATAAAATAGTACAGTACATTTAAATAAAAAAATGAACACAATAGGATTGTAAACCTTTCACAGTTTATATGCCCTAAGACAACTGAATAAGTGAATGATCCTTTTGATAATTCTCATGTTTCTCATCCTTGCCAGCTTTCCAAGTAGATAGCTTTTTAAATTCTAGTATAATTGTTTATTTTATTGTATTTTTTTATTTGGGTCTTCAAACACACATTAGCTATGGAAGTAATAGTAGGGATAAAATTAAATTCAAGATTCATTTATTGTTCCTGAGATCCAGGTAACATAATAACTTCAAAACAAAAATATGAAGTTAGAAAATGAATGCATTTATAGTGCAAGGTAAAAAGATTTACAATGCTAGTTTAATGCCATAAATTAGTCATTAAGCTTGGCAGAAACTCTCTCAACTCTCCTCCACTTAAAAATGAATCAGTAAATTAACAGATGCTCTCCATTTCTCTATAAAACATACTGATTGGTGTGAATTGTTGGTGAACACCTACAACTAGTAAACTGTTCTCCAATACAAATCTATAGCTCTACTCACATTGACTGTCAATGGCAGAAAAGAGGACTTCTACTATAGATACTTTCAATTCAATGGGTTGGCTGTACAATGGAAATAAAAATTTAAAAATTACCTATTATCTTTCTTGACGTACTGACCAGTAATCTCATCAACCACATGAATTTTTACCATGGGGCGAGAAATCTTATAATCTGACTTAAGTCGATCAGTTCGGTGAATGTAAACTCCTAAGACAAGGTCATCATCAAACAAACATTTGCGATAAACTGGACTATCTCGACTTGTTATTTCATGAACACCGTCATCACCATCAGTATCTTCATTATCATCTGAAATTACAAATATGGAAGAAAAGTAACACTGTAATTCATTTTCCCCACAATAATATATTCAACAATGTAAGTTGAATTTTCATATAGCCTAATCTTAATGATTCGTGGTTATCTGTCTTTGTTGATAAAGAAACTTCAAGGAAAAAATCTAGATAAGTCCAGCCAGTGTGGCTTAGTTGGTTGAGCACTGTCACATGTACCAAGAGGTCATCAGTTTGATTCCTGGTCAAGGCACATGCCTGGGTTGCAGGTTTGATCCCCAATAAGAGGCATACAGGAGGCAGCTGATAGATGTTTCTATCTACCTCTCTCTTCTTCTCTCTCTAAAAATCAATAAAAATATATTTAAACAACAAAAGAAAAAGCCAGGTAATATTAGATAACATTCTAAGAGTAAACCACTGCATTTCCTAATATATTAAAATAAGATATCTTTATTTTCCCTAACAAGAACTAACAACAACAACAACAACAAAAGAGAGCAAAGATAAAAAATAATTTTATCTAGGTCTTTTCCAAATGGAATATATATCACTCAATTCATTTATAACTGTAATTTATGCTTCTGAGCAGGATATAGTAGGTCAATGCTTTTGGTAATAAAAACTTAAAAACCCAAATGAATTAAAAAGACTTTATTTTTAAAGGCATCAGAAAAGTACTTTTTAAAGGCATGAGAAAAGTATAGAAGCAATGTATGGACTAACATTCCAGGAAGGGAAAAGCATTTAGAGATAAGCTGAAGGATTTATAGCTAAATTTTTATGTAAGTAAAGGCTAATGTCTGGCCATATAAATTATTCTCACAAATTAATAAAAAAGTCAGACAATTCCATTAAAAAATATACATAGAAGATATGAACAAATTTACGAATGAAGAAATCCAAGTAGTCAAACATGAAGAAGATGCTCAACTTCACCAGTTATCATGGAAATCAAATTAAAGTCAAGATGAAATATACACAACTAAAAATGGCTAATGTTTCAAAATAGTAACACCAATGTGAGTGAAAATATGGAGCAACAGAGCCTCTCAAATATGGCCTGTATCAATTGGTTGACCAACTCTGGAAAAATGGGAGCTACCTATTAAAGTGAAAAGTCCACATAATCTATGACATAGTAACTCTACTCCTAAAATCCTATTTAATAAGAGGGAAATATGCAAATTAACCTTCACTCAGTCACAAAGATAGCAGCAACCATGGCCACAAGATGGCGGCACTCAGTCCCCTCAGCCCCACCAGAGTCCCCCAATCCTGGCGAGGCGGCCACTAAGAGTGAGCAGCGTGAGCAGCCTGGTGGAATGCTTGCTTCATCCCTGCGGCAACTAGGAAAGTGTCCTGCCCCAGCCGCCAAGAGCCTCTGGGCAGTGGATGCGGAGCAGCCAGGCCTTGCAGAGAGCAGAGAACCCCAAGGAGTGGGCTTAAGCCATCACGGCTCCCAGATTAGAGAGGGCTCCCCTGAGGACTCCCAGATTGGAGAGGGTGCAGGTTGGGCTGAGGGACCCAGACCCCATGCACAAATTTTGTGTACCACGCCTCTAGTATGCTCAATAAAAATGGTATACATATGCTTGCCAAAATACATGACTAGGATATTCATTACAGCTTTATTTGTTACCACCTAAAACAAGAAACTCAAATGTCCATCAATACAATAGGTAAATTAATTGCGCTATATTTATACAATGGATATCTCTACAGTACAAAAACAGAAGTGACCATGAATAAGCATGCAATAATAGTATAAATGTCACCAAAATAATTTTGAGTGAAAAAAGCCAGACACAAAAGAGCATAGTACTTATGATTCTATTTATTTGAAAGTAGAAAAGCAGGCAAAAATAAACTATGCACTTATTTTTTATGTCTAGACCGTGTTTGTATGCCACAATAGTGTGTACTCCTAAAGAACAATGAGCTAGAAAGGGACTTGAGAGGACTTCTGGGTGCCAATGATGTTGTTTTTTTACTTGGATGATGGTTCTATAGATATGTTCAGTCTGTAAATATTCACTAAGCAGTACATTTATAATATGTATATTTTTCCAAAATTTAATTACAGAAACCACAAAACATCATCAATTGCATAATCCAATGAATAAGAACCATAAAGTCTAAAATTGCTTATTATAGTGCCAGTTCTTTGGCCAATTAAATAGAAACTGAAAACAACAACAACAACAAAAGGATGTAGGGAAAAGGAAAGAATAATAAGTAAAGGAAAATAAGAGGAAAGATATGAGTAAAGAGGAAAATCAAAAGCAAGAGGGGGAAAAGAATAATGAGAAGGATATAAGCTGACTTAGGCTGAGGAACTGGGAAGACCCCTTGTTTGACAGAAGCATGCAGCCTCAACATCTGAAATGTTTACTGGCAGTTGACCATTTATAGCTTTCCACTATGAGTCTAAATTATTTAGGGTTCTAAACTCACTGGTAGAAAGAAGAAATCTTCTATGCTATAATAGCAACTACAAAGTTAATATCATTCTAGAGTTGAATTAAATTAAGTCAGGAATTAGAGATGAATCAAACAGATACTAACTTATCACAGAGATACTGTCACAAATAATTGTTTTAATCTAGATGAATCCAAGAACAAGTACCAAATATTCTATATTGGATTTTTTCAATTATATCTTTATAAGATTTTTAGTTTTAAGGATTGAAACTTCTAAAATCAAGTTATTTCTACTAAGGAACACATTTTTCAATTAATCGGGATAACAAACCTGCTTTAGGCTTCTTTTTCTTTTTCTTTGGTTTGAATTTTGTCTCATCTTGCATGCTGTTTTCTACATTTTGTTCCACAGTTGTTATTTCATCATCTTGATGATTATCTGAAGTAACTAGACTTTCCTTCTTTTGTTCACCTTGAATTTTGTCATCCAAGGGAAATGTCCTATAAGTACAACCCAAATATACATCATTACCTATATATTATTATTCATACTGCAGGAAAGTGAACAGTGACTGGAGGCAAGGATAATCCTCGAATCAATATTATTTTCCTCAAATCAATATTATTTCCAACTAGGAAATACATATGCTTTCTTTTGCACTAAAATGGCTAGTTGTCAAACTGGGCATATGGATATTCCCCAGGAGTCAAATTAAACTGAGTTCTAAACTCCAGGGGAAAATGAAATTGTATTTTATGAGCAATGGATCTGTTTTTACACAGGATTGATCAAAGCATCCTCACCTTGCTGTCAAATAAAAGACCACATTTCTAAATTACTTTATTTAAAAGCAAAACATGTGTTCTAAGTTTGTTCTGTTTTCAAAAGGCTTCAGATATTCAACCTTTGATTTCTAGTTAAAAATTGCTCGTTTTATAATTGTTGGTATGCCACTACATTTTCAGAAGGCTGAAAATGAAAATGTGCATCATATTAGCTAATAAATAGTAAAAAGGTAGCATCTCAGAAGTAAATACTGTTGTAGTAAGAAAACAGCCAGTAAAGTTTGTAACTTATCAAGTAAAACATCTCCATCTAAATAATCAAAAATTGACTTCCATTATATATAAAATTATATTTCAAAAAGATGTTGAGAAATAAAAAAAATTAAAGAATATTTCAATTAGTCACCTCAGAAAACCATCATACTTTAGTACATCATCAAATACTATTTCTTAAAGAGAACAATACCCTTTGCATGTCACTGTTATATCAATCTTGGTTTTATTTAAAATTCATGACAAATTTATTTATTTATTTTATTTATTTTAAAAATGTTTTTATTGATTTTTAGAAAGAGGAAGGGAAAAGGAGAGAGGGAAAGAAACACCAATGTGAGAGCAAACATCAATCAGCTGCCTCCTGCACACCCCCTATGGGGATCAAACTAACAACCTCTTAGTGTGCAGGACAACACCCAACCAACTGAGCCACAAGGACCAGGGCCATGCACTAAACTTATCTAATAGTGAATATGGCTTCCCGATTTATATATATGGTAGCTATGAGAAGAAAATTTGTAATATACTGTGGTAACAACCAATGAGATGGCCCCCAATAATTCATATCTCCTAATATTCATAGTCTTGTTTAATTCCTTTCCTTTGATACTTCTAAGCAGACAAGTGTATGACCAAAGTAATAGATGTTATGAATAGGATTAGATTCCAAAAAGACTGTAAATTCTCCCTCTGGAGAAACAAATGCCCACTGTTGTGAGTAGCCCACATTAATGGGTCTGAATAGCCAAAACTGGTTTGGCTCAGTGAACAGAGTGTCGGCCTGCAGACTGAAAGGTCCCAGGTTTGACTCCGGTCAAGGGCATGTACCTTGGTTGTGGGCACATACCCACAAGGGGATGTGCAAGAGGCAGCTGATTGATGTTTCCCTCTCATCGATGTTTCTAACTCTCTATCCCTCTCTCTTCCTCTCTGTAAAAAAAATCAATAAAATATATATATATTTTTAAAAAGCAGATGTAAGTGAATAGTTAAGGGTAGTCTTTGGAACAACACTGCTAAGGTTTTGGCTCAGCTTCTTACTGGTTCTGTGAACATAAACCCTTCAGTTTTCTCATCTATAAAAGATAATACTACTATTCCCTATAGGGTTGTTATAAGGAATAAATGAGTTAACTTCTGTAAAACATTTAGCATACACTGTACTGTCAATGTGTCCAAATGAAAGTCTTAAGAATTTTCTTTGTGAAACTATAGATATCATTTCAAGCTGAAAAAATAGGTTTTTTTTTTTAAAGAAGGCATTTTATATCTATGAATATAAAGTACCTTGTTTCAGCTTCAGGCAGGATTGGCGCTTTCTTCTTTTTCTTTCTTTTTTTTTCACTGCTCAATTTGTCATCATGCAAGTAAGTATCTGAGGGAAAGTCAGCCAACTGTTCTTTGAGTTTCTTTCTTATTTTCTTCTTAATCTCCTTTGCCATTTCCTCAGCTACCTGGAGCTGGTATTCTTGCTTCAGTTGTTCTTCCTCATCTAAATTATTTCCTTTTTCTTCATTTGCTTTCTCACTTCTGTGATAAGCAAAACCTGGTTGTAACCTCATCTGAACTTTCTGATGTAGAAAGTCCACCTTCTTCTCACAAGTTTCCTGATCCATTTCTTGTGCAGTCACCTGGCACACTGCTCTTGTAGTCCTCTTATTTGCCTGTTCTTGCTTGTCTTCCTGTACACTCCCATCATCATCTGGGTTTTCAGCTGTTGACTGTGGATTGCTTGGTCTGTTTTTAAGGACTCGCATGCTCTTCTTTGTGTTATTAGTGTTAGCAGCAATTACTTCATCGCTTTTCCTTTCTTTCATTTTCCGAGGATTGCTTCTCACAGTGTCAAGCTAGGGGAAGACACAATAACAAAGTTTCAGCTAAGCATAGTTTAGTTATGTAAAGATAAAACACAGTGATTAGTGCTCAATAATGTGTAAAACTGGAAAAATTACATAATATTTTTACTTGAACAGTGACATCCTAGAGCACCTGATAAGCACTGTCCTAGTTCATTCTCCCAACATCAGATTGGCAATCTCTGAGGGTAGCTTCTGATCAAGTGAGTTAACATGTGAAAAAGTCCTTAATGACTTTTAAGAAGTTAACTGCTCAAATTTCAAATGCTATCTCCTCTTTGGCAGAATGACCCATACACTAAGGAAGAGAAGTTGGTGAAAGAGCCACTGAGCTTACTTCAGGTTCCCCATCAGAAAGCATGCGTAGGTCATTTATCTTGCTTCGTAATCACATTCTAAAACCAACAGTGTGTGATAGCTCTAGGATCAACCTGCAATTAGTCCAAATGCATTACTGAAAATACTGCAAAGATTAAATATTCCCAAGTTAAATCAAATGACAAACTAAGGACACACCAGTACTTCTTTCCCCAATCAGAAAACTTTCAGTGCTCAACCAACTGAGCCACTCTGGCCAAGCTGAAGGATATTATTAATAGCTAGAGAATCCAGAATATTTCCCACCCTTTAAAGTTAATTTAACATACAAAATAAACTTTTTAGAAATTGTCATTCATAAAGCAGATATCACCTCAATGAAACAAGTTATAAGAATAATATGAGATAGGAGAAACTCAGGATGATCGAGGCTAAACAATGATAATGAACAAAACATAATTTAAATTTCCCCCAGGAATATTTATTCCCATTCTTTTGACCAGAAAAATATTTCTAAATATTTTTCCTAGGCTACTTATCTATGAATGAAAAGATACCTTGAACGGCCTGGTGTTTGCCAAAAGCGACTGAGTAGATTATGCTTAGTCACCTCACAATTTTCTGTCCCTCCCCAACATCTAAATTGAACTTCAGGTAAATGAACTGTCCTCAGCCCATTTCCTGAGTATCCATTTAATTTAGCCTTTGTATCTGGCCTGAAATACAAAAGCCAAATTCTGACAGTGAGAGAAAATTGGTGGCTCTACTTTGACTGAGTCCATAAAGATATCCTGCAGATAACTGTTTCCAGCATTCTTTCTATTTCTGACCAATGTACCCCACCTTTCGCAAAGGGAGGGCATATACCAATATGCAATGCTCCATCCCCTGAATGTCACTATTCCCTACCATACTGTATACGGGTACCACTGGAGGACGCACATTCCATATTAGGACAGTATGCATTAGGGGAGACCTCGTCATCCCTATTCTGCCAGTTATTCTAAATTGGTGTGCAGTAAGTAGTACACTGGTGTACTATGAACCTCTCGCTATGTGCAGCTGTTTCTAGCCAACATTAGCACTTATTGTTGCCTCATTTGAGAATATACAATGCTAGTATACAATGCATTGATGTCCACCAGACAGAATATTAAAATAAACAAGTCATATGACAATAAATAGGGTAAATTCGCTATAAGTGAAATGCAGGATGTCTACAACTCATCATTAAACTACTATCCCCTCAAAAAAACAAACAAAAGACAACTATGTACCGATTATCAGAACATGTATGAAGTGTTTATGTTATTCTTGTAGGACAGCACTCAAGGCTGAACTCAATATTCCAATAGTGATGTTGATTCTAACGTAAATTTCATTTTATCACATTTTATTGACCATAATATAAATTAGTTTTCAATTTCCAAAGTTCCTTAGAGTCTTTATGAAAAGTCATAACTTTATGCAGATACGTAAGTCACCATTACCAAATAATCAATTACTCACTGAGATTTTTTCTCCAGACGTGCCAATGTTTTTCTTCAGTTTTTTTCTTTCATATATTTGATTATTGGGAGTCTTAAGCAATTCCTCAAAATGGGCTTCAGTTTTTACTTTGGCTTCATTCTCAACTACATATAATAAAGACTCATGTCATTTTCTAAATAACTCTACTATAACTTAGCTACATTATTAATATGTTAAAGAATACAGTCTTATAAGTACCCGCATGCATTCTCCCGCTCCATTAGAACAACTAACCAGTCCTTTATTCTTAAAAAAAAAACAAAAACAAAAAAAAACTTTCCTTTTAACGTTGATGACACCACTCTCATCTGTATCTCTCTAACCTTTTGGGTTACAACCTCTAAAAGTTTCCTTTGATAAGTTAACTTTTTATTTATGATGCAACAGTAGCTTCTACTACTCCTAGTTATATGGCCTTAGATAAGTTAGTTAACATTTCTAAATGTGTTCCTCACCTATAATATCAGAATACTCTTATGCCAAAGATCATTTTCCATGAAAAACAGCTAACACTTACCTAGTCAACAATCAACATTCAACAAATATTAAAAGTTGAAAGTTGCTTTTTCCTTTAAGATATAAATCAAATCCTGCTCTCCTCTTACTTGGGTCCCTGTGAGTTTCCCATTTCACGTAAGACAGAAATAGAACAAGTCCTCCCTATGTGCTGCAGGATTCATACTTCCTGGCCCACCTCCCCCAACAGCTTCAAATCAAGACAATGTCCCCTGAGATCCCTACATTCTGGCCATACTGCCCTTCTAGGTCCTCTATCAGAACAAGCTCCTCCCCAGGGGAAGCTGTGTCTTGGTGTGGACGCATCTCACTCCCTGCATGGCTGGTATTAAGCTGCCTGTGTAATAATACTTCTAAAGTACAACTGCTACTAACAACTTCATTAAATTTCTCCACTTCTCAAGCAAGCAGATGATTCTTTTCCTTCACAGCACTTAAACTGAAACTGGGTAATTATTTGTGTATATCTATAAATAAATAAACCATCTGTATCTTCCACTATACTGTGTGGTTTACAACTACCTACATCCTTAGCTACTATTATGGGATCTGTCATGGAATAAATACTCAAACATCTATTAAATAAATGCTGAATGAATGAATGTCCCAGAGGAGATGTTGGCAAACAAAGCCTGCATGCCAATTACCTGTTTATGTAAATAAAATTTTATTGGAACAAAGCCATGCCCACTCTGTTAAGAATTGATGTGGCTGCTTCAATGACAGTGTTCAGTGGTTGTAGCAGAGACCAACCTTAAAATATCTACTGGTTTGCATTTTAAGAAAAAGTTTGCCTCTGACTGTTTAGAATAAAACATCCATTTTGATGATTAAAAATGAAAACTAACCATTTGTTGTAATTATTATTTACTTTGTCCAGTTGAGTCCTAAACTGCCATCCACTGAATACATGCTAACCTTAATTACAAACATTAAGTAGAAAATAGAATATCAAACTCTCAATATCTCTAAGTGTTAATATTTAGTTGATAACATCTATCGTATTCATTAATCTGTTAAAGCACCCATTAAAATAATCCAAACTTTAAAGTAAATAAATTGTATTGTATACATACATTTCATAAAAGTCTCACCAGTGGGCATAATCTCAGTTTTATGGAAAGCACTGAGTTCCAATGTAAAGTATTAACTCACTCAGGATCCTATTAAAAACAAAGAGGATTTATTTGGAATATGGGAGTTCCAAATAAAAAGTATAATATACTCGTTAGGCAAATAGTGTCATCATGTTTATACCAATCTCTCTTACCTCAATCTTATGTAAATAACTTGAATACATCTGAATCAGTTTAGAGTCCAACATAAAGTGAAGCAAACTGGATCGCATCTGAATAAAATAGTCACATATCTGAAATAAAAATTGAAAGGCAATTAATATGTAACTTGGTATATTATACTTTTTATACACTTTTAATAAAGTATTTCAAGTAAAAAATAAACATTTCAATGCACCTTTGAGAAACCAAATTCCATCTCAGGCTTGATTTTCGCAAGAGCACACACTCTTATGTTAGTCAAGTATGCACATTCACAGATAATGAATTTAAAAATCGCTGAACCTGCCACTGAAAATGCTGCTACAATAGAGGTGAGCTCAAGCATTCATCCCATCTTTCTCAAATAAATATGTGGGTGTGTGATATTGTGTATCAAAACTATGGGTAAATTCAGTGTGTGTGTGTGTGTGTGTGTGTGTGTGTGTGTGTGTATATATATATATATATATATATATATATATATATATGTTTTTTTCCTGAATTGCCAACTTTACTTAAAGATGAAAGTGTGTCCAAACAAACATTAATTCCTACATTAGAACATAATATGTGCAATAGTTTTATTGGTTTTTTAGAGAGAGAAGGGAGAAGAGAGAAACATTGATGTGAGAACATAACATCAACCAGCTGCCTCCTGCCAGCCTCCTATTGTGGATTGAGCCCAAAACCTGGGCATGTGCCCTGACTGCAATGGAACCAGCAACCTTCTGGTGCACGGGATGACACCCAACTCACTGAGCCACACCAGCCAGGCCCAAGATGCAGATGTTTCTAAGAATAAAACTAAACACGCTTAAAGGAAAAGGAAAACATTACTTGAGTTGGCTCAGCAATTATCATTTTATTCTGCTATTACGGTACTTTTGACAGAAAAGAGAAGAAATGCTTACAAAAGAAAAAGAGTGATTATATAAAACACCCAATTATGTGAGTTAGGTAACAACTAAGTAGTACACAGGCAAAACAAATATCCCCACATCCACATACTAAAAACTCCTATACTTTGATGATAAGACCCTATATTTACTTTTTAGTAAATACAGATTTAAAAGCCTTGTCACCTACTTTCCAATTGACCCCAGATTAAAAAAGAGAAAGGCTGAAAGGCAAGTGAAATAACAAATCAGTGACTGAACCCCGACAGCACAGAGACAGGAAAAATATAAAGCAGAGAATTATTTAATATTTATAAAATTCCATGATCGTTTAATATATAGGAAAAGAGCTAAACTATGACTATGAGTCAGCAAAGCTTACTTATATTCAACTTAACCTGTATTCTTTTCTCTTGAGCAGAAAATTTATCACATTTTAGAAAGACTAAATAAAAACAACTGTAAAGTCAGGACAGAGATTCAAGGATGATTCTTGTTTCTGGAAATAGAATAAATAGAAAATAGAACCATTAAATGGAATACAGTGCATTATAGGAGAAATACAGCAGAGTAGTTTAAAACCTTAGGCCTGGAATTTTCCTCTAATGCCTGGAATGGTTACTTGTGATCTTAGGTAATCTGTTTCCTCATCTGTAAAATCAGTTCAACAGGGCCTATTTAAAGGGTTACTGTAAGGGTTGATTGATTTAGAACAGAGTCCAGAACAAGCATCAATAAACACCACCTACAGCTGTAATTGATACTTCTTATGGGGACACTTAGTGAGCTCAGTGGGCATGTTAAGATGGTTATCTGAGAGGCACTAAGTGGCTATAAGCATCATCAGATTTCTGGATTCAAATGTTAGTTCTGCCAGTAGATAAGTCTCTGTGGACTTCCATTTCCTAATCTTTCAAATAATAGTAAACCACTGATAGTGTTTCTATAAAGATTAAATAAGAATATGAAAGTAAAACACTTAGCACAAATGCCTAGAGAATGGCAAGCCTTTAAAAAATGACAACTATTATTATTCTGTGTGTGTGTGTGTGTGTGTGTGTGTGCATGCGCGCACATGTATACTATAATCAGATTATGCTTGGTAGGCAACAGAATACAAGCATATCTTGTTTTATTTCGTTTTCATTTACTGAGCTTCACAGATGTGTTTTTTAAACATAAGACCCTCCACCAGCAAAAAGATACAACTTACTTTATTACAATGCTTGCTTTATTGTGGTGGTCTGACTCAACCTCCAAAATCTCCAAAGTATGGATGTATAGTAATCCAGCAAGGAGATCTAGGATAAAGTTTTGGGCATCATTTATATCTGTGATGATTGCAAGGAAAAAAGTGCAGAAGAAAGTTGGGTGCGATCAGCCTGCAGGGGAGGGAAGGCAGTTGGAGTGAACCAGGCTAGCAGGGGAGAGCAATTGGGGGCAATTATGCTGGCAGGGGAGCAGTTAGGCATTGATCAGGCTGGCAGGGGAGTGGTTAGGGGGAGATCAGGCTGGCAGGCAGAAGCAGTTAGGGGCAATCAAGCAGGCAAGCAGGTGAGGGATTGGGAGCCAGCAGTCTCGGATTGTGAGAGGGATAACTGACTGTCAACAGGGATTCGGCCTAAACCAGGAGTTGGATATCCCCTGAGGGGTCCCAGATTGGAGAGGGTGCAGGCTGGGCTGAGGGACAACCCCTCCTCCAGTGCATGAATTTCATGCACCTGGCCTCTAGTAAAGGTATAAAAATAAATGAAATAAATTAATAAAAATTTATTATATATATATATATTTTAAGTAAAAAGACATAAGAGAGATAGGTGAACTGGGAGAGGTAAGTAACCAAAGGGAAAAGAGTCGATCTATATTTTATCGTGCCAAGAATGGCAATAAGTTTTGAAGTGAGTTCACTAGATCTGCAATCAGAAAGTCACAAGGGCAAAGCTGTTCATGAAGGGGCGGAAACCTGGCAGCTGCAGGTGAGGAGTGAATGAAGGGTGAGACCTATAGAAGAAACAGTGATGTAAATCACTGTTTCAGCAATTTTGCTTCCCTCTGTCTTCCTCCCCCTGCCCCGACCCCCAAAGACAGTGACAGATGGCAGTAGCTTTGAGACAAAAAGACAATGGAAATGACCCCTTGCCTTTCTTCACCTCCACTTTCTTCACTGCACACATTCTGAGCTCTGGCCATGCAAAACTACTTGCAGCCCTCAAATGTGCCGAACTCTTGCTTTTGTACCATTCATTACACATAAACCTCTCTCTCATGAGAAATGCCCTATCTCCCTGTCCATCTAGCAAATGTGTAAGTATCCTTTGACGCTAAATGCAATTGGTATCTCTGTAAGAGATCGGTCTAACGTTGAGGGGCAATTAAATGCTTCTCTGTGCCCCCACAGTGCCGTGATCTTCACACCTCCCTCTAGCTGATAAAATGTTCTGTTTGCCTTCTGGAGGGCTACACCTATGTTCTCTTCATTTATGTATTCTCATTTTAAAAATAGGGCAGAGGTGTCAGTAAGAATGGTTCTAGGGTCAAAAAGAATCAGGTCCTTGCCGAGACCGGTTTGGCTCAGTGGATAGAGCGTCGGCCTGCGGACTGAAGAGTCCCAGGTTCGATTCCGGTCAAGGGCATGTACCTTGGTTGCGGGCACATCCCCAGTGGGGGGTGTGCAAGAGGCAGCTGGTCGATGTTTCTCTCTCATCGACGTTTCTGACTCTCTGTCCCTCTCAATTCCTCTCTGTGTAAAATCAATAAAATATATTTAAAAAAAAAAAAAAAAGAATCAGGTCCTTGTTCTGCCACTTACAGAATGTGCCTTGGGCAAGCTACTTAAGATATTTCTTGCTAGTTTCTTGTTTTTTTGTTTTGTTTTCTTTCTGTTGTGCCATTTTAATTTCTGAGAAATTAAAATGGCACCAACTTTACTGTAAGGAGAAAAGGAAATACTGAAAAGCAAAGTGATCAGCACAGTAGCTGACACATAGTAGGTGCTCAAGAAAATTACTTTGTGATCATTACTACAGTATTAAAACAATGATGTGATAGGTAGAGTACATTAAGTAACTTATGAATTTACATTATTTACTATTTAGTATTTTAATGCACAACTGGTAAATATTAGTTAACAATGCACCAGATACATTACAGAAACAATCTAAGTGTTAATGTGTACCACAGCAAATACATTATAGAATGAACAATATGTGACTAGAAACATCAATGGCAGAAATTAAAGTCAGACTTAAAAGGACATTCCTGAATCTCACATGTGCCATTATTTTAAATCTTCTCCCTCACAACCCTTTTAACGGGTGCTATTAAGAGATAACGGTATAGGAAAATTAACTGCATTATGTTTCGTCTCATTGAACTTTTTCTCAAACCACCTGATTATTAGCCAATAAATGACTAAAGATTAAGGGGAGAAAAAGTTGTCAGGTTTGGAAAACTCTTTAAAGAATTTTATAGCACATAGGGGGAAAAATAAACAAAAACCCTTTATACAAAATTCAATTAATAAATCGATGATAGTCTACCCAAATAAACAAGATTCTACACATGGTTTAGAAATACTCTTGGTATTTGAATTATCTCAAATATCTTTTTAAAATTTACCATAGTCTTAAAAATATCTGATCTTCCTCCTGAAAGCTCAAGCAGTGCCAGCAATCATTAACGCAACAGGTGAAGAGAGGCCACACACTCCAATCAGCTGGTGTTTCACAGCAGAGAGTCTTAGTCTACTTTTTTGCCTCTATTTATACAAATCGAAAAGACCCTACTAATTAATTTGGCTTTTCCCTTAAAACTGAAACGCCCCCATCACCTTTTCTCAGGTGTCATAAAGAAGGCATTCACAGGGCCAATATCAGCACCAGGGCGACATCCGAAAAGGGATGAAACGGACTTCTTTTGAAAGCGTTTACCA